CACTTGCAGCTTTGATTTGTCTGTAACCATGGTTTCTCAATCTCAAAGTAAGGACTCTGGCTTGAAAAAAAATGAATGTATGGAGCTTAAAGTTGTAAATCCTCAAGCCAAGTCCTCGAAGAAGATGAAGTTTGTTTTATCTGCTGAGACATAACAAGGCAGCGCGACAACATTTTCTGAGGAGCCAAAGTCAAGTTGGGGTATAAGCACAATGCCCCGTGTTGTGAAGAGAAAATTTCAGAAAATCAAGCTTGTTGTTGAGTACAATAAAAGGGGGAAACCAAGTGGCCCTGCACATACTGAGATGCAGTCCTACATTGGTGTGTTGGCACGCTCTAGAGTCCCACTTGTGGACAAGAAATGGGCTGAAATATTCAAGGATATAAAAGAGCAGATTTGGCAAGCCGTTGACATGGCTTTTGTGGTTGGTCAAGGGGGCAAAAAACTGGTGTTATCTTTGCTGCCAAGAAATGGAAGGATTTCAAGTCTACACTAACGAGGCATCATATCATTCCATTCATCAAGGAGAAGGAGAAATTAAGCCAACCCCCTGAAATATACAAATTCATAGAGAAAGCTGACTGGGATGCCTTTGTAGCTTCAAGGTTATCTGAAAAATTTGCAAATACAACATCGCCTGTAGAAATAAATGTGTTGTAAGTCATGACCCTAACATATTTTCCACGTCGTTTATTTTCAGATCATGTCGTTAATATAAATTTATACGGCGATCGACTGAAAATTTGTGCCGTCTAAAATATATTAGACAACGATCGTGTTTTTAAAGATGATGTATAAATTCTGAAACATGGTTGTCTTTTATTTGTGGACGACGTTGTTCATTAAATATAACGTCGTCTATAGAAATACATGTGTCGTAAGTAATTACCCTAACCGCTATTTCCACGTCAATATTAATGGAAAAAAATGAAGTGGAAAATTTATTTCACGACGGTTATATAAATAGTGGTGACGTAGTATGAATTAATGATGTCGTCTTTTATTTATTTAAAGACGTCATAACTGTATTTCACGTTTCTTGTTTGATCATGTGTCGTGAAAGGTTTATGTAACGGCTGTGAATTTTAGTTTTCGTCGTGGTATGCGTCTCTTGCGGCCATGTTCTGTTAAAATATGTCATGTGTTGCCTTGTAAACGACGTTTGTTTTTTAAAATAGGTCGTCTATTCTTATCCTCGACAATTTTTTTGGCTCATTTTTCAGTACACAGACATCGGTTGTAATTTGTTAATGGCGTTGTTTGTTATAACAACGATGGGGATTTAGCGTCGTGGTTTTATTTTGGAAAAGATGTCGGTCCATTTCACGACGGTTTGAAAACCGGATACACGACGGTGAATTCCCGTCGTCTTTTGCCTTTTTGGTAGTAGTGATCCCAAAGTAAATCTAACTCTTGTGGTGCTTCTATGTTAAGATAATAGTTCACATTGAAGTCATTGAAGAAGTGGGCAAGGTAGAGGTCTCCACACCGGGAAAAAAACCTATTTCTCTAATTGTGGCGAGTCATTCAACTTGATTGACATTGCTGCTTCTCTATTGCTGCAAGACCACATGAAAGAACATCCTATTATTAAGGCTTCACATGCATTTCTAGTGCAACAAAACATATAAGAAATAAGGTACTGAAAACAAACCCATCAAATATGGTGCAGAGAGATGTGGGAGCATATATTTCGGCGATCAATGTGCAGGTGATACGTGGAAACGGGAAATTCCCTAGGTCAATTAGTTACCCTAATTAATTCTTATTTAATTAGAGAAATTATAATTGATTTAAGATGAGAAGATCTCCCTAAATCAAGGATGAGATTTCCACCAAATCTCCTTGATTAATTCCAATCTCCTATTTTTGAGTAAGAATAATTCTAATTAAATAAGGATTATTCTTCAAACCCTAGCCTACAAGGAGCACTATAAATACATGGCTACACAAGGTAATTCTAAAAACCTTAACAACTCTCTCCCTTGCCGCCACTCTCTCTCTCTCTCTCTCTCTCTCTCTCAACTTTCTCCCTATGACTTCGACCACCACCGCACACAGCTTCGGTCACCCGACTTGTGAGAGAATACTCCGACCACTTTAGCTATTGTTGTATCTTTTTCAAGGTCCAATCAAACTAACTTTGACATTGGAGGGCCTTTGCAAACACCCCTAGATGTGGTTTATTTACTCCGGTCTTTTTCACAGGGATCGAGGAAAGAAATAGAAGGAAGTTCGAGGGTCAAAGAATTTACATGTGAATATTCCCCGTGTGGAATTTTGCTCCAACATATTTGGTGCTTTCATTGAGACCATGAGTTATACTCAACGCGTGTTCTTGAATCAAAGGAATCTGTTTCCTCCTATTCATCACTCAACTGAAGCCTTCCAAACAACTGTGGTTGGAAGCAAGCGCACGAGAAGCAAGACCACTGTGACGACTCAATCCGCAATGGGTCTGAGCCATCACGATGGCATGGTGTCAAGCCTTCCACCACGTTCCACCACTGAAACAGTGGCTACCACCACAGTTCCAGCCGTCACAGTCGCTCCACCACATGGCGCCATCACCATGAGCCCAGCACCGCCACAAGGCTCCATGGCCGAGACTATGGTTCAAGCACATGTCCTCGTGGTTGCCGTAAACTTGTAGCCTCACGGCCTTGCGACCGGATCCAGACATCATCCCCATGGCCTCATGGTTGGACTAGAGGCTAACCACCATGACGATTCAACCAACTTTGGCTCCGTTGTGGAACAACTACGTCCATTCCCTCATTTGCCTCTGCGCATGACATATGCACCTGCATATGCCTCGAATGAAATCGTAGCCTGCGTGCCGTTGGGCTCGACATAATTCTCTGATCCATATCCAAGCAAGTGGCTCAAAGAGTAGATGACCAAAATAACTTGGTTGGACAGTTCCTCAGGCAGATCAACTTGGTCCAAAACCTTGGCCCTGGATCCCATGGTGAAGAGAGAAGAACAAATGGATGCATCAGTTGGCAGCTCAAAAGGTCACAGGCAGGTCTAGCAGGAACCAGAAGGCAAGGACGAGGGTAAGAACGTGTTACCTAGCATGTTGGCATGCCACAAGCATCCACAAGCTCCAGTCAAAGTAGATTGAGCCTCCGTGCAAGATTAGGTCCAAGGACCAATGTAAACGAAAGGTTGGGCCAGCGATCCGATGTCCATGCCTGCCTGGGCCCACAAGATAGCATTCACGCCAGGCTAGGCCCCTAGGGAAATCAACCTAACGATCCACCCCAGGAGGTGCTTGAAGAAAGGCGCTCACCGACCCGCTCCAGGAGAGCCAGTACACGACGACAAGTCGCAGAGAACCCCCTCGCAAGCTCAGTCGATCAATACGCCGCACAGGCAGGACAACCAATGAGATTTGCTTTTTAGAGACAACGAGGAGGTAAACTAGCGACGCCCGTGTCATTGGAGACACCGACGTGAAATGCAAGTCATGCGGGCATTGGATGTCGATAAGATCTTGAGTGATGAAGTGAAGTCCTCAATGTTCACCGCCAAAATCAACAAAATAATACCAAAATTATAAACGAACAAGAGATTCAAAGTACTTATACCTTTACAACAAATTCTACAAAAATCCCTAACCAAATAGCACCTCAAACTCAAATATGATAAAAAAAAAAGCTAAAACAAAAACAAAAACTACATCAAAGAGTTGAAAAATCAACTTATAAAAACTGAAAAATAACTAGAAAATTCAAAAAACAATTTGATCAAGAAAATACATACCTCAACAGCAAAAAAACTTAGCTTCACGTCCAAACATGAAAACTTCAATAGAAGAAGAAGATTGAAAACTGCACTGCAGTTTCTAGAAAACCCAAAAGTTCTCATATTTATGTGGGATTATCAATTTAAAAAATGTAATCTTCCATGCTTCATTATTGAAAAACAAAGTATATTTCATAATATCATATATAATTATTAATGTTCATAAGATTCTACTTCCAATGCTAGGAAATGATAAAACAATTTAGCCAATTGTAATTAAATGGAAAATGCAATGCAGTGTTTGCAAAACTGCAGTGCTGTGTATGCAAAACTACAATGCAGCACGTGTATGAAAATTCACTGAACTATCTCTAATATAAGCAATCATAAATTGAATTCACACACAAACTTTGACCTCAGAAACAGTAATGTAGTTCATGCCATAAACTTGAAATTAACAATTATATCTCCATTATAATTTGGTAGGCCAAAGTATATTATTAAAAATGATCAATCCCGAAACTCCTTCACCGTAAAATGAGCCTGCCTCTGAAAGTGGTGGCAGTTTTTTGTCCACCTCTAATGGCAGGGGCAAATGATATAACATGCATTACACAACAAGTGCAAGTTTTGGAGGAAGTGGTTAACAAACTTATATCCAAAGATTTCTTGTCATAGGTACAGAAAAGATGCACAAAATCAAAGTTACATAAATTTAAAGACCAAATTTAAACAGAGCATACATGACAGGAAATGTATACTAAATGTTATGAGCATCTTGGGCAATAATCAACATAACCAATGATCACTTTGGCTAGAGACCATGTTGATGTATATATGCACAGAATAGATACACACATATTCATAAAATGCAAATCCATATATTAATACATATATATTGAAACGAAAACTGCATGCCTTGCAGAGTGTGTGCAAAAATGCACCTATTAATAAGTGATGAACCAAAAGTCAAAATCATGATGAAAGTACTAAAACAATCCAAAGACATATCAATTATTGATAGAATTGTATAAGTTCCATATACACATTCATACTAAAATATAAATGATCCCTAAACAAGGGTACATAAAACGAAAACTACACAACAATTTCTAGAAAAACCAATTATCCAGAAACGGAAACGGCATTGCAGAATTTGAGTCAAACACTACCAAAGTCATCACCTGAAGACCAAAACTACATGACAGAACCTAGTAACAAACAAACTAAACAAATCAAATCAACATATTCTAGGAAAATCCCCAACCGAACAGCACCTCAAACGCAAATCTGATTTTTTTAAAAGCCAAATAAAAACAAAAACGAAAATACAGTTGCTATTCCACAACAAAACATACATGCAATACTTAGATACTACCAGAACCACCATGAAAACAATGATCAATCGACAATCCCAACAAAAATATAAGTAGAATAGTAAAGAAAAAAATTCGAAAATAAACTCACAGATCTGACAAAAAATACATACCTCCTAATCAATGCAAGCTCCAATTCAAAAACCACAAGAAATCCAAAACTTTCAACAAATTTCAAGCGACCGCACACTAAGAGAACCTGAAATCACGCAAAAAATTGAACATGAAAAATCGCACTAATTTGCTGTGTGAAATTGGAAGAAGAAATGGAAAAGAGAGGAACAGAGCTCAGGAAACGCAAACCGAAAGCTAAATGACTGATTTCTCGAGTCTACTTTCCATGCTTTGACTACTTCATCTGGCACATAAGAAAAGAACAGATGTGGCTTTTGACGATTGTTCTTAGGTTTAGCAGATGCTTAGGCTATAAAAGGATAAACTGATCCTTTCACCTTAAAAATTAAACCGGCCTAACAAGGCTGACCCTGCTGTTTTAACAAAATAAAATTTGGTTCCTATGTATCAAAATCCAAACCGAAATACTCTGTGTCTCGATTGTTGTGTCTAATACCTAATTTTTCTTATAAATATTAAGAGTCTAATTCGTGGGTTCGGTCTGGTGGGAAATGTTTTCTCTGGTTTTATTAGGTGTTCATTTCTGAGATTGGAAGCAGCTCTGGTCAGATGGTATAATTTATATAGAAAGCAACTTTGTTCATTTTGTACAAGCATATCGACTATGAATTGTCTGTGTTCAATGCTACAATTAATGTTTTTGGTACAAAAAAGAGAGGTAAGCTTCAGTCTATATGTATGAGAGATCTGTGTCTGGTAGAGAGATTCAAGCCCAGATAAAGAGCATGATGGTTTTCTTAGCATAATAGCTATGAACTTTTGGTCCCCTCCTAACAGTCTAGTTTTCAAATTTCATGTGAAGATTTCAATTTCTATTATTCAAGAAAATAAATGATAAAACTTTGACCAGATGGAGCTGTTTATAAAAATAGTAAGTTTGTTTTCTTCTATGGGTGACTTCAAATTCGCTGATTTGTTATCTCTTGCCTAGCCAGTCTGACAGAAACATGTTTCACAAACCAATCTAACATGCTTTGAGTTGTCTAAGTACATACTTGATGGGGCCAATCCTTTGTGAATGGACTTTACAAAATTAATGGTTTGAGTATCAAATATGCACTGTCCATATGCAGTGCCACTTTTGTTTTCTGTGGTATTTCATTGAAATGGAAAGCAAGGAGATGTCAGCTTCATTATAGGAGTGAGAAATCTGTGTCGTATAATCGGTAAAAGAGCATGATGAGGATCGTTTTATTAGCATATGAATTTTTGCTCCCTTTCTCAGTCTTGCTTTCTATTGTCATCTGAGATTTCACTTAATTTTGTTTTGAGTTGGGAAAAGTACATACGCAGAAAATGGACTAAAGAAAGTGGCTTCTTTTGTGGTTTTGTATTGTTTTGTCTTTTTAAAGAATAGGGTGGCTTGATATGTCATGAGGAAAATAGAACAGAAACGAAGCCGCAATTTATAGGAGGATTTATTACAATGTTAATTGTTGGCTCATGGAACCAGTGATTCTCCAGCAAAATAGCAAACAGAACATTTGACCTAAATTGTAGATTTTGGGTGTACATATATGACTAGTCCAACCTTGTAGATGCAAGCAATTAACTGAAAATTGAAAGGACTGAATAATACACCTGGTATATGAACTCAACTAAATCTTGTCCCTGTTGTGAATTAGAACCAACTCACTCCCTTTTAGACCTTGTTGTTGATGGACTTTGGACAAGACTCAATGATGGATGAATCTTACACACACACACAGAAAATAATCAAGCACCTATGACACAAGTGTTTATAGAGGTTCAGCAATTTGCCTACATCCTCTTTGGTGATCCCCTTGAGAAATTTCACTAATGAAGATAGGTTACAACTTTGGTTTACACAGAAACCCCCTTAGAACACTACCCTCACAATCTGTTTCTCTCACACCCTTGCTCACACCTTGATATACTTGAGAATTCTCCCTTCTACTTGACTCACTAGTTTCTAGCTACTTCTCTTTTACAAACTCTCTCACAAACTCAGACTTGCTCCCTCTTTTCTTTAATACATAAGCCCATAGACTTGAGAGAAGACCCTTGCTTTGTCTCCCACGTTCTGCCCTTGAATACCTGACATAGACCACAGGTTAGGCCAGCCACAAGCT